CATGTTTTGTATTTAATATAAATGAAATATTTGAAAATAAAAAAAATTGTCCATAATATACTAGTTCTTTACAAGTTTCTTCCATTATATGAATAAAGTACTAGCTATTTATGAGTATTTTACTTCCACATAAAAACGCAATTTTCAAATACGTTATTTTAATTTTCGTAAATTTGTTTAAGTGTGAAAAATTGGTTAAATAGCACATTAAATACAAAACCTGTTAGTTTCTCATAAAGAACTGGTATGTTATGGGCAATTTCTTTTTTTTTTTATAAATTAAATTGACATATTTAATTTATGTTAAATACAAAACATACTAGCTTTCCTTTGGCCGCTATTTAACTATTTTTTCCTATAAAGAGCTGGTATGTTTCCCATAAAGAGCTGATACAAAACATACTACAAAACCTGTCAGTTTCCCATAAATAGCTAGTATGTTATGCGCTATTTCTTTTTTTTTTTAACTTTCACATATTTAATTTATGTTAAATACAAAACATACTGGTTTTCCTTTAGCCACTATTTAACCAATTGTTCCTATAAAGAGCTGGTATGTTTCCCATAAAAAGCCGGTACAATACATACTACAAAACCTGTCAATTTCCCATTAAGAGCTGGTATGTTATCCGCTATTTCTTTTTCTTTTTTAACTTTCACATATTTAATTTATGTTAAATACATAGATTTAACTTTCAGAAATTGGCGCCAAATTACTTCTTCTATTGCCGCCTAGGAGTAATAAATTTTTAATCACCTTCATTAGATATTAAATTTCTGTTATTCTAGTTAAATGTAATTACCAACCAGCAGATACATTTGTCAATTAGTTAACGTAAGTAAAATTTAAAAGGTGATATACTAATATTTTGACGAAAGGAAAACTAATAGGTTTTGTATTTAACATAAATTAAATACGTGAAAGTAAAAAAAAAAAGGTAATTGCCCATAATATATCCGTTTTGTATAGGTTTCCTCTATTACGAGTTTCTTCCATTTAATTAGTTTAATTAGTTACTTATTTTATGTTAAATAGATAACCTACTAGTTGACTTAAAATTTATGAAAATCGGCATTTTTCCTGACACATCTGGTGCTTACAATTTTTTGTATTGTACTTATAACCCCTCAACTTTAGTAATCATTCTAATAATTTATTCTTCTTTCAATCTTCTACTAATACAAGGACCAAAGGGGCATCCATGGAATAAAAATACCTTCTCACACATGAAAATAATATTATAATCAGATTTGAACTGCATTGTTACCAAAAACTCAAAAGTAAGGGAGGTCAGTGAAATTTTGAGAACCTCAGGGGATGCCAGTGAAAGTGTCAGAAACCTCAAGGGAGGTTTCTGAAATTATCCCTATACTAAAAGAAGGTTCAAATGAGCCCATTGTGGCCACCCTGCTACATGTTTGGAATCAAGAATCCAAATTTGGATCCTTGAACGTGCTAACAAACGTACTCTGTCCCCATCTGTTAAGTCGTGTCACTAATACCCAATGGCATGGCATGTGTGGAGTCAGTTTTTAGTTGAATTTCAACCTAAAACGCTTACTCCTCCGTCAAATTATTAATGTTATGCTTTTACTTTATTGATTTTTTAAAATAAGAACTATCATTTCAAATTTAATACATACTTTTTAATCTTATCATTTAAATAAGTAACTTTATAAAATTCCAATGCATATTTAATAAAAAAAATATTTTGATTCCAAAAGATACATATGTAAATTCATCAATGTCATCTCATCTAAACATAATGATTATTATGTTTTCATAAAAAGTTAAATTCCCAAAAATTGACTCTAATATTGGGACTGAGAGAGTACTTAACAGGTAGAGTGTGTTTGGATATTACATTATTTACAGAAAATTTTACTTGTTTGCATTATAAACATTTTTTATTGTCTTTTTATCTCATATATATCACATTAAACAACTGTTATAGTGTTTTCATTTTAAAAAAATTATTCCAAATAATCTTCTATCCAAATACATATAAGTAACAAAAAAGATTGTTTAAGGTTATAAATGAGTTTATATCATTTTTTACATTGGCTATTGAATGATAAAATGATAAAAAAAAAAAAAGAGGTAAAATGATATGAAGTAAGAAGTCCTAGTTGCCATATTTTCTTTATCGATCAATTTTTCATTGGCCCAATAGTTTGATTATGGGCCTAGATGACAAATTTAACATGGACTTGATGTAATCTCGTTTTAATTCATTGTAAAATCCTACATATCACTATTTAAAAACTTGAGGGGTAAAATTGATCTTACCTTCAAGCATTAGTAACCAAAACAAAAATGTAAAGTCAAAACTTTTAACCGTTGTTAAACTAGTTTCGACCATTAAAACATCTTCATCAATTGTCATTGGTGGCCAAATTGACCTAATTTTTTTCGCCAAAAATTTTGAGACTTGTTTAACTATTCTCCCAAATATTGATAGGATTTGCACTTCTAGTTCTCCCCAAAATTTTATCTACTAAAGTGGATCACCAACTTTAGTAAATAAAAAGAAAAAGAGGATCAACAGTGATTTTCTCTTCTTTTTATTTTTATCAAATATTAACAATTTACACTTATACCTACTCCTACTCCTACTCCTACTCCTACTCCTAATCCTACACCACGGCTAAAGAGATAGCTCCAACTGAATTATTGAAAATCGAAAGAGACTAAATCATCTTCGAACGAGATAGGTGCCCTTTAGCACCCGCTCAATTTGGAGAAGCCATGTAGAATAGCAATTTAGATAGAGTGTTATTTGGAATAATTACTGTAACACTTTTTATGATTTGATGTATGTGAAATAAAAAATTGATTGAAAATATAAAAAGATGAGTTGAGAAATGTGTTTATGATGTAAGCGAAGTATTATTTAAAATAATAAGTATCTAAACAATGTTAACAGGTTTGTTTAGACCGTTGGTAAGTGGAGTATCTAAACAATGTTAACAAACCAATTTTCTATCGCACGAAGAACTTAAATGCCTTTGTGATGACCAACAATTCAATAGACCGTTGGTTACCAATGTGATTCTCCACTTACCCTTTTAACGAGTCAAACTCGTGACTGAAGTGTTTTATAAACTGGGCAATGCTTGGTTGTCCAGGATCACCTACTTTAGCTGTTTCCGTGTCATTGAATTTTTGTCCTCCAATTGATATTCTATACCATCACAATTACTAGGACACTTGGCACCTCTTAAAAGTGCTGCCATGCAAAGACATCAGCAGCACGTGGCTTTGTTCTCCAAGGATATACAGCCCTGTCTTTCACCAGTAGTCACTAACTAGATGCCTTAATTAACGCTTACCTAATGAGACATAGCTCCATCAACTTTATGGAAAAAAAACTTTATGGAAAAAGTGAAAGTGCCATGTAAAAGTGAACATATGGTTTCTCATAGTTGAATCAATGGAAAAAGCAAAAGAAATCAAACAGAAATAAAGTGAAATCCAAAACTCTATATGATATTTGACACAAGATTGAAGGTCTTTACGGTGTAAATCTAAAAAGTAATTGACATGTAGGAGGGAGCAAGCTAGATCACCGCAGAGTATTTGAAGTTTGAAAATGACATGTTGTGGACAATAAGAGGGTACGAGAATTTGTGAAGGAGAACAAGTCACATTGAAGTTATTGAAAAAGACATCATTGGATATATGTTTTTTTTATCTATTGTCACCGTCCACACTTACTTCTACTTCTATTCTAACCTATACTAGAGGAGTAATCCAACAGAATTACCAAAACTGACGGAAACTGAACCGTTATAGGACCATACAGGTGCACTAAGCACTCATATGAATCTAAGAGAAATCATATTAAGTGACAACTTTGAGAGGAGATAAAATTTAAACCTTTGACTTCCCACCCCACAAGACACGTAATGGCCAACTACTCTAAAAGTAGTTGGTTAAGACTTTATTGGATATTTTGGTGGTTCGTTCATGAAATGCGCAACATTGTAATCCATCAATGATATCCTGTAGTTAAAAATATGAATTCTACAATTTCTTAAGGGGTTAAAGTTTACTTTTTGTTTGAATATCAACTATAAGTCAATTTAAATTTCAAATATAACAATTTATTCTGAGTCACCAAATAATGTAAATTTTGTCGTTAACGTGTTTTAGAATGCCTAAAATATGTACCTTTGAAACATCACCGATCTGCACTTGGCCAATTAGGCTATCGATTTTAGCGTATTAGTATCTTATACTATCAATATATCTAACACTCTTGAAATAAATTAAAATTCAATAAGCTTTTTTTTTCACTTTTTAATGAAAAAGACTATAGTAATTACGGGGTATTTATGTTCATCTAAAGTAATTATGCTCATTCAGGGGTATTTATGTCTTTTAGTTAAAATCTATACGAAAATGCGACCAATTTGAGCAATCTAATGCTATATGCTGATAGTATAATGTAGTTAAATACTACAATTGATAGTTTGTAGTGTAAATTACAAAGCAATAATAGTATAGGGGTGCAATACAATTACAGTTTTAAAACGTGTAAAATATCATAGCAAATGTATAAGAATTAAATTTTCCTACAGTTATATAGTATTACATAAATAACAACCATGTAAAATTTGAATTTGAAATTTAACTTTTACATACTCTCTCCGTTCCATTTATTTAATCATGTTTGGGGAATCCAACTTTTTAACAATAGTGGTTTGATTGTGATGTTTGTGTATTTCTTTCTAATTTATCCTCACAAATTCAAATTTTAAATTTGAATGGTAACGTGCATATGATTAGAAAAAAAAGTTATATTAAAAAGAGAGACTAAAAAGTGCTTTGACTCAACGGTGACAATTGTTTTGAGACATCCCAAAATGGAAAGTAAAATACTTTTAATGGGACGAGGGAGTATATGTCATAAATTCAATGGTGATAATGCATAAACTATCAATATATATATAAGATTTACTGAATGTATAAGCTATAGGAGTAGAAGGGATTTTACCTTTGAGGCAATAATTTGAAGACCAGCATACTTAACATCCCAACTGAATTCGGTAATAGCCCAGCCAATGCCACCAAAACAATGAGCCTTGTCAATAACATACTTCAAATAATCTTCATTGTCGGTGGCTTTGTATAGCCACAAGGCTGCCCACAACAACTCATCCATGAACCCACTCACTGATTCATAATAGTTCTTCACCACCCCCACACTTGTATCGTATTTTCCCCTGTACTTGTCACCAAATTCAAACAACTGCAAAAACAGCATCCATTTCAACCAAAAAAGTAAAAAAAAAAAAAAAAATCAATCAAAATTACTTCCAAAAACTATCTAAATTAAGAGCATATTAACTAAATTATCTAGTACTTTTTCCAAAAATTATCTCGATTTAACGAAAAACTCAAAATTGTTACCTCTTGAGCATGCTGCAATAGTAGGTGAGAATAATGCGAGTTGATTTTCCTAAACACAATTGATGCTGCAGCCATTGCAGCTGCCGTCTCTCCGGCGAGATCCGACCCGGGATTTTTCTCGTCGATCTTGTACCCTCGTCGGGACGTCGTCATGTCTTCCGGCCGTTGCCAGCAGTAATGATCAGTATCTCCATCTCCAACCTGAAAATTTAAATACTTAAAACTGTTACTCATTCTGCATTTGCATGATCATACATAAATTTTGGTACAACCACATTTTAAAAAATAAAAATTTAAGTACCTCAGCCCATAGTACATTAGGTCTAGTGTGTGCCTTGCTGAAATAATCAGCACCCCATTTGATTGCCTCAAGAGCATGCTCCATTTCTCCAGCCAATTCAATTTGTTGCCCAAATTCAATAACACCCCATGACAACATTGTAACTGTGAATGCCATTGGCAATCCAAACTTGACATGGTCACCTGCATCATAGTAGCCTCCAACTAAGTCCACCTACAAACACACATGTAAAAACATACTAAAAATCTGTATTCAAACAACATAAATGATGAACCAAAATTCAAATTCTTGAAGAAAAATACAACTGAAACTGAACATTGTGAGTAATACCCCTTGTTCTAATCCATCTGTCAGGCCAGAATGGTGACGCCAAGAGACTCTTTGGTTGTATGGTAAGCGACCGGACCTCTGTGCTTCAAAGTACAGAAGGGATTTTGAAAGTGCATCTGCATAATCAAATGCTTGAGATGGGGTGCTAAAAATGGTAAAAAGCATGAGCAAAACAGAGCAATGCAGGGGGAATCTTGGTAGTTTTAGCATTCTGCAATGTTGATAGCTCTTGTTCATCTTCATCTCCTTTACCCTTCTTCTCCAAAAGGGATTTTCAGGAGGTGATGAAGAATATATTTTAAACAGCAGCAGCAGTAGCAATGGTAGAGAAGGCTTTTTAAAGGGCTCTTTACAAACACACACAGTCACGCACTGGTCATACCCATACGCATGTATTTTGGTGTCCATGCCATGGTCCACAACACAAGGGATTGCTGCCATTTTGAAATGGAAAAGGTGTTGTGGAAAATTCCCTCTTACTTTTTTTCACTCTTCTCTGTAGAATAATTTCAGGCCTAGATTCAGGGATGTGCCTTGGGATTGCCTTTTCATAGTTACCTTCTCTTTTGTGATCTCCTTGCCCCTAAGATTTTGAAATGTTTAATATAATTGCTTGATCTTTGGACTTCAATTTCCGATTTCAAACCAAATAAACCTCATAACCGTTATGCAAACAGATTTAAGGCCTCTTAAATCAAGATTAAGCTGCATAAGATTTACTTTCAAAAAAAAAAAAAAAGACAGTTAGTAGCCAAAATCTGCATCACATCAGTCGCAATTCAATTTGGACCGCTAATTGTTTTCCATAATTATATGTAACTGTCCAGAATATCTGCCCTGTGCATACAGTGTCACATGTTGCTTTCCAAGAACTATGAATAGCTACCATTCTAGTTCCAAGTGTTAATTCAGCTGTTTCCCCTAAATTATCAAGCAATTTTATCTACAACATTTATGACTATTACTAGTTTATGACAAATGGCTTACATTTGATAGACCTATACAATAACCTGTTTAAGAATTAAAGTTCTTAGACTAAATTCTTTCATTTGTTGACGTTTATAAGTACTTCCTCTATCCCACTTTATTAGTAGTCTTGATTTTTTCTCTCATGCAGTTTAAAAAAATTAATTAATATTTTTGGAAGAGTAAATTTAGTCTCTCTTTTTCTTGAATTACCTTTACATCAATATTATATGACTAATTAATTATCACAAAAATCAAGACCATGAATACAATAATATTTGATGAATAGGCTTAGAATGGTACCATGATGTGATTTTGGATGTGCTAGTACATTTGACTAAATTAAGTATCATACTTACCACAATTAAATTAGATTGTTATATTAATTGATAACAAAGTACATTAAATAAGGATATTTTAAAGAAATTAAAAGTTAACTATACTTTTTAATTAGAAAGTGAACTAGATAATTTAGAATAGATGAAAAGGGAAAACAAGTCCAGCAAAGTAGATGGGGGGAGTAGTAAATAGTTTTCTAATAAAAAAAGAACAAGTAAATTTTCTATGAACATGGAATGTCATCTAAACTTGTCATAGTAAATAAATTAAATAATATTTAGGAGTTTTACCAACAAAAACCAACAATGAATTTTAAGGAGAAAGTGTAAATCAATAGCATTAGCACAAATTTATCTTAAAAGGGAAAAAGAAAAGACAACTACAAGGTTGCCGACACAAGCATTTTCTATTTCCTTTTCATTTGCTATTTCCGTTTTTCTTTTTTCCTTTTCATTAGGTCTTGATGGAAGGGGAGACAACTTCAATAAATGATTCTGCTGGCTTCTAAATATTTGTCGTCAATGTTCTTAAATTCCATTGCATAAGTATATCAGGGAAACAGTTAAACTAACAAGTAACAACTAAGCCCAAAATTTTGGAAGTTGTTACAACTTATAAACAAAACACCAGCCTTTGGGCCACCAGCCTTTGGGTTGGTGACCACCATCAAATCATTAAGGCTTGGTGGGATAGGAAGCAAGGCCACAATATGTGGCTCTCCACAAATCCAGACGTGTGTATAGTGCATCCGTCTGGTCCGATGGTAATTCTGTCCCGGTCGACTTCTCCATAGGCCCAGTTGAATCCCTTCTAGAATAGATTAGAGTAGGAGTAAGTGTAGAGTAGACTATTATCGATTGTCGAAAAAAAACAAAGAAAAAAAGTTGCAACTTATAAACTAAAACAGTCGAATTTGAGAAGAGTATTTGATTGTATACCCTTTTTTTTTTTTTTTTTTTTTGAAAGTTCCTATAACGCAACTAGCTCAGTTGGTAAAAATTTAAAACTATTAAGTTAGGTTGAGATTTTTAATTCTAGTTCGACCCTCACGTTTACTGTTATACATTTCTATGTTACATTATGTTATATAGTTTCTTAAAATGACAAGTGTCGTATCAAGCGAAATATTTTAAAATTTGGAATTTTGTCCATTATTATATGGGACGTGTCAATCAGATAGCTAGTGTAACACGTAAAGTTACAACAAAGAATCTTTTGGCTTCGAGTTCTCTTGTCACATTGCTCAAAACATCTACTGATTGGCAAACTAAATTAGTGCTGCTGGTTATGCACAAACAGGCAAAATCCCACTTGACTAGAATTTCAGTTATAATGAAATCAAATTTAGTGTAAAACCTGTTTAATTTTAGTTTCTAGTAGAGAAAATGAGTTGACCAGTATGATCATAAAGGTTTTATCTCCAGTGTTCTGAGCCATCACGTTGCAGGTTTTCTCCCTGAAAACTGCAGGAAGCAGCTTCCAAAATTCTAGCCTTGAAATGATTTAGTGCAGGACCCCACTTACAATCCTGCCCCCATACCCTACCCAACCCCACCCAACCGATCCCTCCCAAGGGATGCCTAGTTGAAGCATTAGAAATCAGTACATACATATGAAATTACAGTAAAATGCAATTATGGTGCCTAAACTTTGACTCTTAACCAATTCTAGTACATGAACTTTGGAGGAAAACAAATCTGGTACTCAACATTATTTAAGCACATTTAATACGTTTGATGGATTTTTTTTCAAATTTCTACTAGAAGAAGCTATGTGTTGTTGTGTGCCTGGCAATGAAATTATAAAAGAATTTCAAAAAAATCAATAATAATCCGCTAGCCAATTTAAGGATTAATAGGATGTGTATTACTCATTTAAAAAGAAAATAAATTAACCTAAAAAAATACCAACTCGGACTAATCTTTTACCCTCAAAACTCCCCTCTCCTCTCCTCTCTTCACTTCTCTTCTCCATACCTTTCGATTTCAAGAAAAAAAAAAAACTTTAAAACCCTTATTTCGGTTGAACCTTCATGAATTCAACCCATGAAATTGTAAGAAAAAATATGTGAAATTTAGTTTCATATGAAGAGTTTGAAGATTCTTCAATTAGGTATAAACATGATTTTTTTTTTTTTTACAATTTTGTTACGGGGCACTTGACAGCATGTGACATTTTCCAGTGTGATATAAAAAAATCCATCAAATATACCACATGTTTAAATATTGTAACATTAGGCATCAAATTTGTTTTCGTCTAAAATTTGAAAACCACAATTGCTCAACGATCAAAGTTTAGGCACCAAAATTGCATTTTACTCGAAATTACAATAAAGAGTTTCAGTTTTAGATACACAGTTGGGTAATCAATCGAGTGGACTGATGAATCTCAAGGAACAAGAATGAGCTCTCTCCCATAACTAGTTCAAGCAGGTATCCAGTATTTGCAGTTTGATACTTATAACTGACAAAAGGCAAATTGCCTCGAAGACCTAATTCGACTCTTTAGCTCTCGTTTGCCTCTTGTAAAGGGGGCAGTAACAACTACATTTTTTTGGAAGTAAACAATAATCAGAGTTTATGAAAAGGGAAGAAATGGTGAAAGAAGTTGGCTATACCATCATGTTGGTATTTTAGCATGACAGAGGGCCTAAAACAGAGCTCCAACATGAACTCATCTGCCTTGTCATAAACTTGCATGAAAACCTTAACAAGTAGCTTCAAGTATCCCATCAGAAGGGAAAAACCTAACAGAAAATGTTTTTCTACAACAACAACCAGAAATCAAGCTGTACTGAAGTTTTAACGATGGAAAATATTGCCAACAAGACTAGCAGGTATAGACAAATGCAGAATCCCTTATGTGGACAAGAATCATTTACAAAGAAACCCTTAAGAATAACAATATGTGTTTGACATTCCAGCTTTCTCCAGAGGCAGATGAAACCACACATATCATTTATCCAAGACAGAATTCTTTCAGGTTAAGACCTGGTATAAACGGCAATTACAGACGAAAATCAATCACTGCCTAGGATGCATGCAACAACAACAAACAGTAGTATTCAAGCTTAAGCCAATATATATGTGCACCTTCTCTTGTCTCTCCCTGCTTTTGTAGAGATGACAAACCAGAGAGAAAACCGCACTAGGTAGAAGAAAAAAACATCTGGCTTGGTAATTATCAAAACCCACAAATATCGAAACCCCCAGACACCCCATTTTTTAGGCAATATCAATCAGTTACAGTTTTGGTCTTCTAAGCTGTCACTGATGTATTATCTAAGAGCAATCATTTAACAGATCTTCAGGAATTTAAACTATAACTAGAATTCTAGAATTCCAAGATCAATTTAAGTAAAAATTATTTTGTATATCCAATTCTTCTTGTCTAGAAAGTTACATCATGCATATAGGGATATTTGAATCATAACTCAATGAACTAGAGTTAGGGGCTTGCGTGGAATTTTAACACACAACTGCAGTAAAGACCTTGCCTATCAAGCTCTAGCTTAGCAAACATAGGATTCATGAAACTTAAGCTAACAACTTGAGCTGAAACCAAAATCCAGCTGATTTTAAACAATGTTTCCAATCAAGCCTGATCAAGTCAAGATTTGCTTCACTATATTCTACTCCAGATGAAGCAATTAAGCAACACAAATACCAATGTGAACTTAACAGAATGTGGCATGTTAACATTACTACAAAACTAATGTGCAACAAAACAAAGCTGTTCTTAGCAGCAAACCAAAAGCTTGAAGGCTGAATTATGCTATACATTCACCATGAAATTTAACAAATAGGATGCTGCTGAAGGCAAGAATAATAAGAGTGATAACTAGATTCTGAAGCTACACCTGTTAGTTGATGCAAAGGAGAACCATTCTGTTTTTGGTCCTTTTATCATGTGTCCTTTTATTTAGTACTTCTCAATGACTAACTAATTGGTGATAGATAATCAAACAGAAGGGGTACTAGCTCTCGCAATATCTAATTAATCTGAGGAACCCCAAACAGAAAGTGAAAAGGATTGAAGTTGACTATGGTCTACCAATTTTTCACGGGGTAATGCCTCAGTATTTTGATTGTTCACAATTAAACAAACCATTAGGAGTATTTCCTGAATCCTGACTTCAATAGCCATATATC